TGTGGAGAAAAGGGGACTCTAGTATACTGCTGATGGGAATACAGACTGGTGTAGCCACTATGGAAAACACTATGGTGTTACTTCAAATAATTAAAGATTGAACTGCCATTTGACCCAGTGATCCCAGTTCTAGGAATATACCCTAAGAAGCCTGAAACACCAATCAGAAAGAATATATGTACCCCTATGTTTACAGTAGCATTATTTACAAGAAGAGGGGGGTTGGAGGGGAAGAGATAAACCACAGAACTTATATGCATGTATGCATAACCAATGGACATAGACAACAAAGCTGAGGAAGGGGTGAGGGGGATGGGGCAGAAGGTGTCAATGGGGAAAAAAGAAACATCTGTAACAAAAACAAATTAGTACAAATAATTTAAAATCTATATATCTACATATATATATATGTAGATAGATATATATGTAGATATATAGATATATAGATATATCTCTTGCCTGGACCACTGCCCCTGTAAGGAAGTGGTTAGTTTTTACTCTTGATTTCAACAACAGTCTTGTTCTAGTCAGATGCTTTTTCACAATTTTTTTCATTAACTAAAATTAAAACATTTGTTTCTGACTTTCCGAACATGGTTTATAGCTGTCAACTTGCTGGCCAGGCTGAGCAATTGCTCCTGAATAAAAGTACTCTAAATTATATTTAGTTCACTTTTAGCTACTATCTAGAAAAGCTTGTTTGAGCTTTCTGTGTAGCAATAAAATTCATACTATATACAATTATCTTCAGCCATGTGTATTTTGCAAATAATCCCCAGTTTGGCAACAGTTGTCTCCTAAAGCAATATTCCTTTGCTAGATGGTACTGTGCAATAAAGCACATCTTTGCAAAGTATTCCGATCATCCGAATCTAAGACAACATATTATTTATTTCAAATGGTCTTTGGTATAACAAGTGCCAAAAAATTGGATTAGAAATTTTCCGGTTGGTGCGTAAAGATCCACTAATTCACCTAGTGTCTGGTTCTTCCATTTGATATTCAGGAATTTAAATAATTTAAGGTTGTTTAGCTCTCAGTTCAACCTTTGTTTTCTGGATATTTACTTGGAACTTCCTGTATTTTTTTAAGGATATTAGAAGTGCTTGGGGAGGATTTTTTTTTTTATTGCCCAGGAGGTTGGTACAGCTATGTTGTAGCATTTGCAAAGATAAGGCGGCGGTAGGTTCACAATTTGCCTGCTATTTGGAAAAGTCATTCTCTAAATTTTTTCAGTCAGGAACCCATCCACATTGCTTATCTCTGTCGAGAGATTACTACCAGTGCCAAGCTCTGAGCAAAACTGCACAACCAAATTCCTTTGCAGTGTTTCCTGCCTCCCTTTTATTTAGTTACTTATTTTCCTATTTGGTTTGGAGTCAAAGAAATCTAGACTCTTCCACTTTCTGGCTGTTAAATCTTCAGAAGATTAATCTGTTTCAGCCTCAGTTTCCTACCTGCAAACTGGGGGCAAGAAATGCCTTTCTTGAAAGATTATTGCAAGAATTAAATGATGTAATACATGAAATCACCTAGCAAGATTTTAGGTTATTTTTTGCTCCCCAAACAAATCTTTTCTTGTGTATTTACTAGGAATCTTGAGCTATTTAAAACTCGAAAAGCATTATTTCCTTTCTCTTCTTTGAAGCACCTTGAAACTATTCTTGTGCTCCTTTTCCCAGTCATACCCCATTCTCAAGGATCTGAAACTCATCAGACTAAATTATAAATTAATAATAATGACTTAAATTCTTAATCCATAAATGAGATTATTTTAAACTTCAATATTTCTTCTAGAGCTTTAAGCCAAAGAAGTATCTGAAGAGCTATAGAATTACAGGCATTAAATGTCAGATTCTTTTACTCAATAATTATTTGAGTGCCTACTATGTGCCAAGGGCTGTTTTAGCTGTTGGGAGCATTGCAATGAACAAAACAGATGAAAATTCCTGGTAGTCCTTTGGCTCACCTCTCTGAAGTAACAGCTATTCGACCATAGCCAAGGTGACCAATAAAAAAAGAGCAACACATTAGAATGAAGCTAAAATTGAGAAAGAAGCCCAGCATATCTGAGACAGAGGCAGCTTTACTTCTCTCATGGACCACCCTTCCCCTCCTCCCTGCTCCACACTCGCACACTCCTGCAGCCAGATGGAGTTAAGGATTACATTTACAGTTTAAAATGCTCAAAATATAGCTGCTGGTGATGGGGGATTTGGTTTATTAGTTCATTTTTATGTATGAGAGAAACTGTAGTAGAAAAAAATTCAGTGTTCGCCCTGGCCAGTTTGGCTCAGCGGTTGAGCGTCAGCCTGCGGACCAGAGAGTCCCGAGTTCAGTTCCTGCTAGGGGCACGTACCACTAAAAAAAACAAAAACAACAACAAACAAACAAACAAAAATTCAGTGTTCATTTCTTTTCAATTTGGGTCTAAGAGATTTTCGGCATTAAAGCCCATCCAGTTTCAAACGTTCCAGCTTTATCTGTATTTATGTGATGCCAAACCAACTAGTTGAAAAATTATAAGCATGGGAAATTAGCCAACTCTTTTGTCTACAAACTGCCAACCAACCAGTTGATTTTTTTTTCTTCACTAAATTGTCCCATCATTCAAACTGAATTGACTGACAATGGCCTGCAAGACCCAAACAAAGCACAAATTCTGCTTTGTATAATTCAAAGCATTGATTCATTGTCCTCTGGTAGAACATGCTCATTGTAGAAAATATAGATAGTACAGAAAATATAAGAAAACAAAAATTGGGTGGGAAGAGATAAACCACAGAACTTACATGCATGTATGCATGACCAATGGACATGGACAACTAAGCCGGGGACCAGGCGGGGGTGGGGTGGGGAGGGGGGTGCCAATGGGGTAAAAAAGGTGAAATATCTGTAACAAAAAAATAAATAAATAATTAAAAAAAAAAAGAAAACTAAGTCTGAAAAAAAAAAAAAAGAAAACGAAAATTACCTGAAGTCTTGTCTCATCATACACAAATATTGACTCGTACACTTGTAGGATTTTTCATATATATATTAGAATACTGCTCTAAATATAATTTTCATCCAAGTTTTTCTCTTTTCATCTAGTGACATATAATAAACATGTTACTAAATATTCTTAAAAATTATGATTTATTTTTGCATATTGTTCACATAGATGGATACACCATCATTTATTTAACCAATCCCCTATGGGTGAACATTGTTTTATTTTTCAATTTTTAGCTACTATAAAAAATTCTGCAATAAACTTTTAAAAAATAGAAATCATTGTGTGTATCTTTGTTTATTCCTTTAGTTCAAAACTTTAGACATAGAATATTTAGAAACTTAATCCACTTTGCCAAAACTTCCCACCAACACAGTTATAGCAAAAGGTTATAACCATTTTATATCTCTATATACAAGCTGTTTATAAGAATGCTCCCTTTACTCTCATCCCAATTTTTAAACTTTGCCAGTGTGATAGGTGAGAAAAATGATATTTCCTTGTTTTAATTTATATTTCTTAAATTACTAACAAGAATCAACATTTAAAAAATTTTTGTTGGCCATATGCATTTTTGTGATCATTCTTATTTCTATCAAAATGAGGAAAAGCAAATAGAAGCAGGAGGCAAAAATAATGTCTTTAAGTTTTTATGTCCAGAAATCAAAGAAAGCACTTTAATAAATATCCTTCTCTTCTTCAGATAGATATAAACAATAATAACAACAACAAAGTTTTTGACTCATTTGCCCTTATAGCAATTAATTTTGGAATTACTAGTTTAGTCCTTGTTGAGAAACTTTAATAAAGTGCTAGAGTTGAGCTGAAGAAGTTAAAAAAATAAATTTTCTTCCAAGTGGGTGTTGAGTTTGAGGCTGTCTTGGATGACGTGATTCAAATGGTATTCATGTCTCATGATCATGCTAAGCTTATCTTTTGAATTCTACTTCCTATCACCTTCCCAGAAAAGGCTTGTGGGAAAGCTATTGAAATGCTTATTGGCTGCCTCCTTGAAGTCATTAACAGAAGCTCCATGTCCTGAAAGTGGTTATTCCAGAAATTATATAAGACAAAATTAACAATTATCCTTAATTACTTTTGCTCATGTGTTCATTAAAATCAGGTGTTGTCAGCCCGTGTAGCATTATGGAGTCCTGACCCTGATATGGTAATTTCCTTTGATTCTGACTAAATTTCCTTTCCTTTGTGCCAAAATAAGCAGATCCCATGCTCATCTATAAACAGCAAAATCCTGGGGTAGTTCTAAAAGAACAAACTAATTTGCTTTCATAGAGGCTTTCTTCAGATTTCATTTTATTTTTAAAATAATGTATTTTTTTCTACATTGCTATAAATTTCAAATAAGAAGAAATATCAAAATCAGCTAACATGTCTGGGCCCAGGACCTGTAAATAACCATGCCAGCTAGACCTAATGTGGAAAATGGAAAACCAGATCCTGTTAACAAAAGGAAAATTCCATTTTTCATACATGATACTGCTCTTATTCCCGGCCAGTGAAAAATAAGCACGTTCTTTTTCTCAGTATTTATTGCATTAATGTGTACATGCTCCTGAGCATCCACTGGGATATCAAGATCAGAAGACCCTTCCAAAAACAACACAAGTTCAGTTTCATAAATTGGATAACAGGGAGAACCAGCACAATGACTAATCATCACTTATGTGCTTTGCTTCTGATAGCTTCAGATTGGGTCTTCCTCAGCTATTATTAGACCTTTGTAAAATGGCTGTGGTGACAGCCAAAGGGCTGTCAGTTGGATAATTCTTTTAAAGTATTTCTTTTCTCCATTGGTTCATATTCCATATTTATCTTGTTGTCATTGTCTTCTAAGCGATTTCTGGTGATACATTGCCTTTTAATGACACTTTTACCTACCTTCATTCATTTTACTCTCGCAATGGCTCTTCAATGGGGACTAAGAAAGGAGACTGATGTACAGAGACTTCATTCATTTATCCAACATTTAAAGATTCCTATTATCATACTTACCTGGCAGGGGCGATACCATGATCACCAAGGTGGTTTTCCCAGGGCGAGGCTTATCCATTGCACTCTGGATGTCCTGACCCCTGCAATTTCCCCAAGTGTGGGAAATTTGACTGCACAATTTGTGGTAGTAGGGGACTGTGTTCACACTGTCCCCTAATATATATATATATATCTATCTCAGGCAGTTACAGAACTGAAAAAGATAAAGTTTTTCCTTTGAAAAGCTTATGGTTGCAGACAGAGAAGGTATACTAATAGATAAGAAGGTATACTAATAGATAATTACTTTCAGATGTAAAAAGTAGTAAACAAGATTTAAGTAAAGTATTGAGGAGGCAGAGAAGAATAGATGACCAAGGTTAGGTTACCTTCTGTTAGTAGCAAAGTCTGAATAGAGATACCATGTGGTCTGATTCTTTGACTAAGGCTTCTTTCATTACCGAAAATCAAGTTTACTCTTTATAAATTATTTTTTACATATACAAACTGCTCTCAAAAATATTTAAAGAGGTTTACAAAATTTTACACATAATACAAATTACTTGTACATGGACTTTTAACCTTTCAAAGCAGATTCTTGAAACTAAGCCCTCAAACAACCATAAAATGCTTTTCTTTCTCTTCTTTCCTTACATTTTTTTTTTCTCACAAGCCTGAACACAACGATGGCTAGGTCTATCCTATGATGTCGGGCTGCTAGGGAAAGTTTCCAAGGGAAAGAATCTATGGTTGTCCCAATACCAATTCTTACCCTCTCCCAATAGCTAATATTCAAAAGAAATAAGTGAAAGTTCCCAACAGATATATGTCCAACTGTCTCTCAGCTTTGTCTAATCCTGACCCACATATCCCTCCTGCCAATTTCAACAGTCTTCATTTTTCGAATGTTATCATTCGAAATGTAGTCTTTACTGTTTACTCTATTTCTAATGTCTTACCAGGGCAGTCCTGGAGAGTGGACAGGGTAGGGCAAAGGGTGATGAAGAGCCGTTCTTTATACCAGTAGAACCCCAGGAACCATTTTGTATATAATCATTTTCATAATCTTTCACTGAAATGGCTTCAGTTACTTGGTATTTTCCTTTTAAAGTTAGTAGCAATCTAGTTTCCATTGCTTGGGATATGGTGTCCAGAAAAAGAGGATGAGGGGGAGGAGGAGGGGAAGGAAGAGGAAGAGGAGAAGAGGAAGAGGAGGGGGAGAGGAGTGGGAGGACCAGTACATACTCTGAAAGAAAGGAGAAAAGTATAGAAATTCAGTGTGGTAAAACCTTGTGACAGGTTGGGATGAGAGTTGGATGTGGTACTTAATCTGTTGACTAAATTAAACCAAATGAGCATAAGCTTTTAACTAAAATATTCAGTTTTTGTTATCTCTTACCTCTTTCCTTAGAAGATGAATGCATTAACAATAGCTTCTCTTTCTTTAAAGGAGGTGACTATTTTTTTTTCTGGTTTAATCTTCTATCAATCTTCACTTCCTTTCTGTCTCAGAGCTTTGAGAAATGTCTTGCTGCCTGGAAAATCCCATTCCCTCAACTTGCCATCGGCTTCCCATTCCATTCATTTAGGGTTCAGCCACTTGAGTTATGGGAAACTATTGTAACCTTTTATCTATTGTATCAGACAAATTTCAATTCTTGTAATGACCTATGTTCTGGATTCACTGTTTGTATTCATGAACAATCATTTTAAAAAATGGTGGTTGGAACACTCTCCTGGCACTTCAAGCTCCATTTCTGGTATGTTTCAACAAAAATTTATTTGCATTTTGATGGCTGTTTCTTTTGCTGTGCAGAAACTTTTTAGTTTGATGTAGTCCCATGTGTTCATTTTCTCCTTTGTTTCTGTTGCCTTAGGTGATGTATCAGTGAAAATTCAGCTGCGTATGATGTCCGAAATTTTGTTGCCTACATTTTCTTCTAGCATTTGTATGGATTCACAGGTCACATTTAAGTCTTTTATTCATTTTGAGTTTATTTTTGTGTATGGTGTAAGTTGATGGTCTAGTTTTATTTTTTTGCATGTAGCTATCCAGTTTTCCCAACACCATTTATTAAAGAGGCTGTCTTTACTCCACTGTATGCTCTTGCCACCTTTGTCGAATATTAATAGAGCATATTGCCTTGAACCCATTTCCAGGTTCTCTGTTCTGTTCCACTGGTCTATATGTCTGTTCTTGTGCCAGTACCAGGCTGTTTTGATTACAGTGGCTTTGTAGTATAACCTGAAATCTGGTAATGTGATCCCTCCAACTTTGTTCTTCTTTTTCAAGATTTCTGTGGCTATTCAAGGTCTTTTTTGGTTCCATGTGAACTTTTGGAGTATTTGTTCTAATTCTGTAAAGTATGTCATTGGAAAGGCAACCCACTTATGGGAGAGCATAATTGCCAATGATACATCAGGTAAAAGGTTAATTTCCAATATATAGAAAGTGCTCATACAACTCAACAAAAGGAAGACAAAGAACCCAATTAAAAAATGGGCAGAGGAACTAAATAGACACCTCTCCAAACAGGTCATACAAATGACCAAAAGACATATGAAGAAATGCTCAACATCACTAATCATCAGAGAGATGCAAATCAAAACAACAATGAGGTATCACCTCACACCTGTCAGAATGGTCGCCATCAACAAATCATCAAACAAGAGTTGGTGAGATGGAGAAAAGGGGACTCAGTACACTGCTGGTGGGAATGCAGACTGGTGCAGCCACTATGGAAAACAATATGGTGTTACCTCAAAAAATTAAAAATTGAACTTCCATTTGACTCAGTGATCCCACTTCTAGGAATATACCCTAAGAAGCCTGAAACACCAATCAGAAAGAATATATGTACCCCCATGGTCGTAGCAGCACTATTTACAATAGCTAAGATCTGGAAGCAGCCCAAATGTCCATCAGTAGATGAATGGATAAAAAAGCAGTGGTACATATAAACAATGGAGTACTATGCAGGTGTAAGAAAGAAAGATCTCTTATCCTTTGAGATGACATGGAGGGACCTGGAAAGTATTATCCTAAGCGAAACAAGCCAAGCAGAGAAAGACAAATATCACATGATCTCATTTATTTGTGGAATATAATGAACATAACAGTCTGAGGAACGGGGCAGTTCTTTGACGTGGAAGTGGGGTACAGACTGACAATCCCCTAAAGAGAGGGTCGGGGGAGAGATAAACCACAGAACCTATATGCATGTATGTATGAACAATGGACATGGACAACAAAGGTGGGGACAGGGTAGGGAGGGAGGGGAAAGGAGGAATCAGTGGGGGAAAAAGGAGAAACATCTGTAACAAAAATAAATAAATAAATTAAAAAAATAAAAATAAAATAAAAAAGGGTCAAATTGGTGGGCTAGTTCTCTTTAGAAATAATCTTAAACTCTACTTTTCTGCTCAAGGCATGATATAGTCATACAGGATAGGCACTGTGTCCCTGCTACCCAAGCAGCAGAGAGTCAAGTTAGACCACATTGTGGGGTATGTGGATGACTGGGAGATGGGGATAATACAATGGGCACAGGAATCTTTGAGATAGTAGTAAATCTTTAATCCATACAATCTGATTTACACTCTTTTCTAGAGATTGTTTTAAAAAGACAAAGGTGCTACAAAAAGAGAGAGCAGAGCCCTGGCAAGTTTTGCTCAGTGGTTAGAGCATTAGTCCATGAACCAAGGAGTCACAGATTCGATTCTGGTCAAGGGCACATACCTCAGTTTCAGTTTAGTCCCCAACCCTGGTCGGGGTCATGCAGGAGACAACCATTTGATGTGTATCTCTCACATTGATGGATACGTCTTTGTTGTGGGGGTTGTTTGGTGTATTGTAGAATGTTTAGCAGCACCCTTGACTTCTACCTATTAGATGCCAATAACACCCCCTAGCCTAATTGTGACAACCAAAAATGTCTCCAGATTGCCAAACGTTCCCTGGGGGGCAAAATCACCCTTATTTGAGAACAGAAAACAGAATCAGAGTCTAAGCAAAGTCCCTTTGCTAATTGGAATGTTTATTAATGCCCAGGAGATGAAATCCCACCCAAAGATTTCATAATTGCTGTGTACCAATGACTGCTCTGTGTCCTTTATACTTTAGTCTTCCTGTACTTCCATTGCCTACTGAGTGTGTGCATGGTGGGAAGGCAGGGGTGTAAATTACTTGTCTTTTAGTTCATAGGTTCTTGGACCTTGAAGAGTCATATCTGGAACTGATTAGAGGACTGTGCATTATCCAAGGATCTTGATCTTTGATGGGGAAGCAGTGATGGCCAGGGCTTTGCAGTATTGTCTTAGTGGAAGGACTGATGTATACTACCTGTGAAAGGAAGAGTAAAATACATACAGGCTGATTGGAATAACAATGACAGCAATATATTTACCAATACTCAATTCATTCTTTTTATTCCTACAAATATGGTTAGACTCCATTTCTAACCTCCCTTGCATATAGTTTAAGCTCTATGCTTTTAATTCTGATGAATAGGCTATGAATTGGAATTATGCATACCACTTCTAATTTATCTCATAGAAATGTTTATCCTAATTGTCCAGTCTTATCCCACCTGGCTTGTGTGCAGAATATAAAGGATTCGACAGAGAACTCCAATGCCCAAAGGGATAGAGGAGAAAAAAGATGAAGAAGCCTGGGTCTCTCTGACTCACCCCAGAAAAAGACCTCCTACCAACTAGAAACATGTGCTTTGAATTTTTTATGTGTAAGAAACAAATTTTTATTATGTTAAGCCACTGAGATTTGAAGTTTTCTTTGTTATAGCAACTAGTAAACTTATTAAACACAGAGGGAGAAAGTGTGGCAATTATTAATACCAGGGAAAATAAAAAGTTGTATAAAAAAGGAATTGTAATCTTAGTATACTGTATAAGTATATTATATGAGTAATAATACTTGTATAATTGTAATAAAATAAATACTGATTATATATTTAACCAAAATTCATGCTATAATTTCTTAGAAAGATGAGGGGGAAAAAGAGAGAGACAGAGAGGAGAAGAAGAAATGGAGAGAGAGTATGGCAGGAGAAGTTATAAACCACTTAATATGCATCTTCCTAGGTTGGAAATCTAAAATGGAAAATCTAGAAACAGTATGTTATATACGAATATGGAAACAAATATCAGAGCAAACACCT